TATATATATATATATATATATATATAGATAGATAGATAGATAGATATGGATTACAATTTTAATTATATTATATTTTATATAACAATATTTATTATTTATTTATATGTGTTTTTATTTGTAATTATTACATATTTTAATTGTAACAATTACAAATATATAATTGACAATAATTTATAATATGTTAGTTTCCTTACTAATGTCATGGGATCACAATCAAATGGAGAATGTAAAGGGGAAAAACAAGAAACAAACATTTACAGTCCTGTAGGCTGTATGGTTACAAACCCTTGTAACCCAGTCTTGTATACTCTTTGGTACAAAGAAACCCTACAAATGTAAACTGAATTGGCAATTTTCTTTCCTATTCCTAAGATTTGAATTATCTAAAGCCTTAGTATCTCATGTAGGCAAGGAAGGAGCTGAAACATGGCAAGTTGAATCGGGAGCTTCACTATAACGTTTTGAGAATCAAACCAGCAGCACAGAGCAAAAAATGGCTGCTGGGGAACTGGCATGAATCAACTCTCCTGCGATCCACTGCTTCATTCTCTTTTCTCTCTCTCTCTTTCTCTCTTTGCCCCCCGCCTCCCAACAACTGCACCACCTCATTCCTTTCTCAGCAGTATTGCAGTTTCCACACAGACTGTTAGATGGACCGCTGCTATGTGAGCGAGAGAGGAGAGCAGAGAGAACTGTGACTTCAAAGCATGAGAAAATGAAACTTTCATGTTCCAGAGGACATAACACTAATGCAGTAAAAGTATTTTCCATCCCCATTTATTATAAATACATCACACTGTAAAAATACAGCAACTGTGCTGTGCCAAGTCAAATGTTAGCACAAATCATTTGGGACCTTTGCGAATCCAAAGACACAATGAGAATCCTGGGGCTCCTAAGGGAGGCTGTGAAGTGAGACAGAAAGAAGAGACAAATCGTCTGCATAGTCCTTAGAGTGTCTTAAAGCAAACCAATAAAGGTAAACATCTTTAACATTTACAAGCACAAAACTCAGGGTAATACATTGGTCAGTTTTATATATTTCATAATTAAAAAGGTCTAAATTATTTTTAGTTTTAAATTTCAGATGGCTTAGTAAACAGGTACACACTCAAACCTAGTTTCTGCTTGTCTGTTTGAACAGTGAATATAAATCAAACTCCCACTGGATACTCTTTCAATATACTGTGCTTAAAAAGGTATTATGTTAGATTAACAGTCCACTATGCTATTAGCTGCCTCACTAAATAGTAACTGTCTTTTTAACTGCCACAGGATACAGTCTATACTTAAACAGTCTTAAACAGTCCTGACTGCATTTTCAAAGCTTTGAAATGCCTATTTCAGATGAGAACCGCAGGGCTTTATGATTAAGCCTGGCTCACTCTGATCTGGTGCCAAGTGCCAAATTTGCCTGGAAGTGCAGATCCACCTACAGCATTTAATACATACCTAGGGCTTACTTACAGAAGCAGAACACATCCCACTGAAGCCTGTATTTGCAGTCATGTACGCCACAATGATACAAATGGAATTGGCACAGTGGAACTACATTGAGTATTTTAAAAAGTCCACCCAAAGTGAACATTTTGTCATTATTTATTCACCCTCATGTTGTTATAAACCTGTATGACTTTCTTCTGTGGAACATAAAATAAATCTCTTTTATACAACGTAAATTACAATGATACAAATGGAATTGGCACAGTGGAACTACATTGAGAGGAGTATTTTAAAAAGTCCACCCAAAGTGAACATTTTGTCATTATTTATTCACCCTCATGTTGTTATAAACCTGTATGACTTTCTTCTGTGGAACATAAAATAAATCTCTTTTATACAACGTAAATCAATGGTAACCAGGGCTATGCTTTTGGGAAACGCAGCCCAGAACTGTTTGGTTACCAACATTCTTCAAAAATATATTTTGGTAACACTTTATTTTAAGGTGTCCTTGTTACACGTTACATGTACTTACTATTATAATAACAATTAATTATGCATAATTACTTGCAAGTAACCCCTAAGCCAAACCCTTATCCTAACCCTAATCATATAGTAAGTACATGTTAATTTAATTAAAATTACTCAGTACTTAAATGTATAATTACACTGTAACAAGGACACCTTAAAATAAAGTGTAACCTAACCTTTTTTTATATTCTGCAGAGTTTGGAAGGACATTAGGGTGATTAAAAGATGACAGAAGTTCTAGTTTTGGGTAAACTATCCCTTTACTATGCCACAAAGTGGTATCTTTTAAATCAGTGTTTTTATTTTTATTTTTTCATTTTATTTTTTAATGATCTATTTTTATGTTGTTACTAGCACTTAATTTATAATTTCTAGTAAGTAATTCAATGGTACAATCCTCGATAATCTTTACAAATAACAACAAAGATTACTACATTTACTAATTACTAGTACTTATTCCAGCAACACTTGGGATATAGGCTACTAGTATCTAATAAAAAGTACTTGTAAAGCTGGAATACATAACCTTAAGATTGTTACTAAAAAGGATTGGATTGCTAGCATTTAATAGCCTATTAAAAATACTACTTGTAAAAACAGATAGTAGTTAGTTCAAAGGAATACATTTTAACAATAACACTTGGAAAGAAAGTAAAGAAAAGCGGGGAAAAGGGAAATAACTAGTCGAAAGAATATCAAATATCAAATGAAAATGATTAAACACCGTGCATATATTAATCGAAGTCAGCAAGCAGAGCATACAAAATTGGTAAAAAAATTTGCTTTCATGTAACATAAAAATTTCGTTAACAAAATCAGATTAATTAATATATTTTGTTTTTCTATTGTCGCCCTTCTTTCCTTAGCACTGGTTTGCAGCTGTGTGGACGGTATGAACAGACATTGTGCATCAGCGCCCTCTTGGGTCAGCAGGCGTTACTGCACACTGCGGTGCAAGACGGGCTCGGGTTCGGTGCGCCCAAATGTGTTGGCTTATGAAGACTGGGTCGATAAACCGCTGCGTAAAGTGTGCGTCTTTGAGCGCTCGGACAGCTCAAAAAACCCCGATAAACCCCATAGAGCAGCGAAACAGTTCACCGACAGACGCAACCAAACCCGTTGGCTCCCGATGAGGGTGGAGAGGGCAGAGCTGGCGAAACTGATTGGTTTTCGATTTTAACGAAGATCCGCCTTATTTGACTCAGAACCGACTCGGCTTTTTCCCAGGAGAGAAAAGCAAGTTTGTGTGCGAGGACGCTGTCACCAGTGGTGGGGGGACTGACTGGGTGGACACTGGTGCACGGAGGGGGTGGTGTTTGTTTGGAGGGGGGGTAACAATCTGCGCGAACCTGGCCCTTTAAATTACCTCCACAATCACAGTAGACGAGGTGAGTATACAACAAGCTCGTATTTTCTTCCTTCCTTTTAGGTTTGTATTCAAGCATCCGTTTGCTTTGCCAAAACGCCTGTGTTTTTCAATGCGTTCGCGTTAGGCTCCACTCCACCGGTGTCACGAATCCGAAACCGCTTGAATTTTCCGAGCGTTGTCCTGTGGGGTGGGGAGTGGGCTTTTTATCAATCATATTTAGTATAATGTACATTTTATGTGTCTGCTTTGGGAAAACAAAATGTCAGGCCAAGCTTGGCATTTGGGTGTTTGCGTGAATCAAGCTTTGCTCTTTGGCTCAAACTAAAGCTTCACAGGCGAGAAGCAGCAGCTTTCCTGCGCCTCCTGTCAACACTTTTACGCCTTGTATATTATCTTATTCTCTGGCTGATTTTTAAAGCGCCCGGTCATCGTGGGCTTGTACTTTGTATACATCATTTGATGGAGTCTTCAGAGCTATAGGCAGGGAGGCGTACATAGTGTACCGTTTGTCAAAATGCCCGCATTGTCTTTCCATCAGTGTGAACAAGGCCTACCAACAGCAACTGAGCTCTGGAGCAAAATCCTGTGCGTTATGGCAGATATGCAACTGACTGCACTTCTGCATCGTTTTGGGCTGATTTATTGTGACAATGTCAGGATAAAATATTGTCTGAATGCAGCAATACAGCTGTTCTTTGAAAAAGCTCAAAAACTAACGAGCAGCACCAATATCAGCTCCACAGGCCTGCTTTTCCTTTAATTCATGCTGTAGTTTACTTATAGGCTTGTGCATAATTAATAGGCACGTACATTTCCTTTCTATAGAACTTTTCTCCATAGATCTCGGTTCATAGTAGCTCTACAGAATATCCAGTGAACAACCCACTGGGGCAAAGGAAGGAACAGAAAACTAAGATGTTTAGATGAACGGGAAAATCATTGAGAAGAACCAGACTCGACTGGGGGAGTACATCCTCCTTTGGCAAGACTATTACAGTAAATGTGTATATGCCAAATATCATGGGTATTACTAGTCATCATGTTTAGTCACATTTTAGATAATGTAAAGATAATCAATAATTTATATTATTTGAAGTCGTTTCTTTAAATGACTTGGGAGATGAAGCCAGTTGTCAGTGAAGCATCTGAAAAAAAAAAGTAAAATAAAATTTTTATATATAGACTTCATCATACCTGTTTGAGTTTGTTGCTTGTTGCACATCTCCAGTGGTCTGTTGTATTATAATTTTGTTATGCATGCCAAGTTCAATTTTTGTTGTCATAGTTCCATTATAGGGAAATCTCCGAGTGGGTTTAAATAACAAGGTTCCTCCTGAACAGTAAGAGCAAGTTTTTATATATAGACTTCATTATACCTGTTTGAGTTTGTTGCTTGTTGCACATCTCCAGTGGTCTGTTGTATTATAATTTTGTTATGCATGCCAAGTTCATTTTTGTTGTCATAGTTCTATTATAGGGAAATCTCCGAGTGGGTTTAAATAACAAGGTTCCTCCTGAACAGTAAGAGCAAGTACATTCAACAAATAAAGTATTTGATTTGCTCTGGTCAATGGAACGTACTACATTTGGAGAGCTGATGGATCTGCTCCTGTTTACCTATTATAGAAAGTGACCTCATGGTGATCCATTATCACGGTTTTGGCAACATTACCATACTGAGCTACAGAATTCACAGTGTGCTAGTACACAGTGCACTGGGTTCGGTTAGATTTACTACAAAAGTCCTAACTGCTATGCCATGTCCTATTGATGTACCTAATGCTGTATACTGTATACTCACCTGACATATGCTATTTCAGGTCTTTTATATGTCACATTGTCTAGTGCAGGTGCAAATACTACCTCCCCCTCCCCTGAATGTACAAAACATAACAATATAAAAGCACATGGACATATTGAATGAGTATTTATATTTTAGTAATTTAGCAGCGCATATTGATTGTATATATTGTTGAATTACCAATTATACAAAGTATTGAAAATGATTTAGCTCAAACTAATCAGATGGCTTGAAGCGATCTGTATTTTTCCCATGTGAATGCTTCCAGGGACACGAATAGGCCTATAATTACATCTGGACCTGTGCACTAATTACAGAACAGACTCACTCAACTCACTTATTCCATAGAAAGCCTAATTAAAAAATACATTTCTTTTACACAGTACATACATTTTCTGTATACAGTAACAGATGGTTGGCAAAATGTGGAAGGCGGCCACTTAGTTTTGCTTGGTTAGAATCATACTCAGGCTCCATTGAATGAGATGAGATTAATTATTCATAGGTTTTGATTTTGCCGCCTCACATTCGGTTAGCCTGGTTGGAAATGTTTGTTTTGACAACATGAATAATGGTTATAGCTGTAACGCACATTATTTCACCATCTCGTGTACAACTTTGTAACCATATGAAGAAAGTGCTGCCACTTATGATTAGACTATAAATATGTTGGGTTGTTTTATTTTTAATGCAGTATTGCATATTTATAGGATTGATTTATTGTGAAATGTGTCACTATATTTTTAGTGTGAAATGGGATTTTTAAAAAAAAAATCATTGCTATAGTGCTGTAATAAAAGCCAATGATATTCAAACATTAAATGGTATTATTAGTTGCAAAGAGCAAGACTTAAGGTTTTGACAATTATGATTCAGTGTATGGAGTACCAATTCACAGTCAGTAACACAAGTGAAAATAGGGTACAATTTACAGTATGTGTACACTTGCTTGGTTAAACCCTGTCTGAGCATATTTCCATGTCATGATTAGAGAGGGATAAAAACAAAACCTCACAGATGGTGGTGGGGCAGATTAATTCTGCATAGCTACTAAAAGTAGATTAAGATTGCAATAATGCTAATTCTGACATAATCTGTATTATATGAATTATGTTAGTGTCCTTGCATCAGAACACTGCCCCCTGGTGATCAAATTATTTTTACTTTTTCTTTTTCTAATATATCACTGACTGAATGTTTATGGCCTATATTTTTTTATGATATAATTATTATTTTTATTTATTCATTTATTTATGCTATGGTTCTCATATATGCATATAGTTGTCAATAAAATATATTTATATTCATTTATATTTCTATAGCATATCATTAAACAATGTTTTGTTTGTGACATACTTTTTTTTTGGTTGGTTAAGTCACTTTTAAATTGAAATATACCTGTTATTGCAATACTATTATTCACAGATAAAACAATTTTATTATGCATTAAAATTATGCAGGGACCACACAAATAGGTAAATAACACATTGCTTGAATGTTTACTTGTTATGATAAATCATTTGTACCTTGTGTTTGTGTTTTCTAGACAAGCAAAGTTGCCTGCAGGTCCCTGAGCCAGCTTCAGTCTCTAGCCTGTCCATCATCCAGGTAAGACAAAGTTACCAAATAAAAAGTTATACTGATCTGAATATGAATGTGGATGTTTATGTTTGTACTCAGTTGGCAGGGAATTTTATATCAAGGCCTACAGGTTATCTGATGCAGCATAACAACTTTTGACCACATGGGGTGTCAAAGTAACAATATTCCTCTGATTCATGCATATACTCTCTGCAGCCTGCAATAAGCTGTATCCATAGTAACCACCCAGGTCCACAGTTCAGTTTTGTTAATAGAGATAGATGAGGCCTCCTTGTGGTTCAGTGTTGATATATAGACAGTTGATGTGTACATGCTTTTAAATTGCTTATTGCTTGTAATTGACATGTTGTTTGCACATTTGATAAAATATAGGGATTTGGATCCTATGTTTGATTTGTCTAGAAATCAAACAAGGAAAGCAAAGCAAAAGTAATTTTGACAATTCTGTTTCGCTTGTATGAAGTTAATGATACATCAAATGCATTATTTGTATGTAGAACTGAAAGTTTTTATTTGTAGTATCTCTATTTGTTTACGGAAGTCCTAAGAGGCCGTAGATTATGATTATTTTTCTTTCTTGGTTTCTCGTGATCACGACTTAATTTTCTCGTGATTTCAACATATCAAAATTTATTTTCTTATTATCACGACTTAATTTGTAAAATAAATTTGTGAAAATGAGAATACTTTTGTTATATCGACATCACAATAAAATAAAGTTGTGATAATGAGAAAACAACTTCTGTTATGTCGAAAGCACGAGATAAATAAGAAAACAAGAAAGAAAATTATTAATAATCCATGGCCATATATATATATATATATATATATATATATATATAAGCCAAGGCAGTTTTAATAAGTAAAAAAATCCCACGGCACACCACTAAGCACTGAAATTACACAAACATGCATTGCTTCAATTGGCATCCCTTACCAAAACGTAGTATACTTCAAGTTTATTTTATTAAGTATACTTAAGTAAAGTTATATTTTTAAGTATACTTTATGTAGTAAGTATACAAATATCAGTGTACTAGTAGTATACTTGTAAGTGTAGGGTAAACGTACCTATTAAGCTCACGTACCCATTAAGCACATTTCCATTTTTGAGCTCAGATTATAAAAAGAAAAAATTATGTATTATCATACTTGATGTATTAACCAATTGATGTGTTTGTTACTGCATACCTCCTGTAATTTCAAGTCAGTCAGATAATTGCACACTGAGATATGAGTCTCCATGTGTTCACACTGTCTGGCGGACATTTTGAAAGCTGTCTAAAAACTTTCACCAAAAGAGGAGCCCTTTAAATGTGCATTTTTTTTTAGATGTTTAAGCCTTTATTTTGGGTAAGTTTTACTACTTATTGTAAAAATTAAGAGATTAATGTTTAGACTTTTGTATATTATAACCTGGAACTTGGATGTGGGATATAATTATAGTTAGATCCAAAAGATAGTTTTAGCAACAGCGCAGATGCTACAGAACACAGTTAGCTGACTAGCTGTATAAGATTGTGTGCTGTACTAATATATAACTTCACAGACATTACTGGCTTGTACTTTTACATCCATAATATGAGACATAACTATATTACGAGGCATGTCGTCCATACAAAGAAGGAGCCATCAGAAACCTGTCGTATCTGTCCAGGAAAAAAGCAACTAAAGGCTGGAATAGACTACACAACTTTTAAAATCTGAACAGATTTTTAAAGGGGTCATATGATGCCTGCTAAAAAGAACATTATTTTGTGTATGTGGTGTAATGAAATGTGTTTATGCGGTTTAAGGTTCAAAAACACATTTTCCACATACTGTACATTATTGTTTCTCCTCTATGCCCCGTCTTTCTGAAATGCGTCGATTTTTACAAAGCTCATCGGTCTGAAAAGCAAGGTGTGCTCTGATTGGCCAGCTATCCAGTGCGTTGTGATTGGCCGAATACCTCAAGCCTGTGACGGAAATGATACGCCCCTCACCATATTGTTGATGCCGTGTCCCGGCTGGAGCGACAAGACAAAAACATTAAAACTCATTACAAACGAGGCATTTGTTGCATCCAGTGGGGACATAATTACGAATTATAATGACTTATACTGTCTTTTTACGCGTTGCGTTACCCATTAAGCACAGCCAGACTTTTTGCATTTAATGATGTATATCTTAATCAAAATACTTTTGCCATTTAAAATAAAATTTAATATTTTTGTGTGAGAGATTAATATTTTATTGTAACATATCATCTTGTACTGAAACCAATATCTTGTGCACTAAAAATGTCTCAATGTAGATTTTGGTGAGCTTAATAGGTACGTTTACCTCTATACACACACATATACATATATACACTCCATATATATATAAACACACAGTATACATACATACATATATAGTGCTGCTTGAAAGATTGTGAACCCTTTAGAATTTTCTATATTTCTGCATAAATATAAGCATCATCAGATTTTCACAAGTCTTGAGAGTAGACAAAGAGAACCCAATCAAACAAATGAGACAAATATATACTTTGCCATTTATTTGAGAGAAATGTATTTGCAAAAGTATGTGAATCTTTGCTTTCAGTATCTTTTGTGATCCCCTTTTGCAACAATAAATAACTGCAGCTAAACGTTTCTTGTAACTGCTGATCAGTCCTGCACAACTGCTTGTATGAATTTTAGCCCATTCCTCAGTACAGAACCACTTCAACTCTGTGATGTTGGTGGGTTTCTTCATATGACCTGCTTGCTTCAGGTCCTTTCACAACATTTGAATTGGATTAAGTCTGGACTTCGACTCGGCCATTCCAAAACATGAACTTTGTTCTTCTTTAACCATTCTTTGGTAGAACGACGTGTGTGCTTGGGGTTGTTGTCTTGCTGCATGACCCACTTTCTCTTGAGATTCAGTTCTTGGACAGATGTCTTAACATTTTCCTTTAGAATTTGCTCGTATAATTCAGAATTCATTGTTCCATCAATGATGGCAAGCCGTCCTGGACCAGATGCAGCAAAACAGGCCCAAACCACGATACTACCATCTCCATGTTTAAGAGATGGGATAAGGTACTTATGCTGGAATGCAGTGTTTTCCTTTCTCCAAACATAACGCTTTGCATTTAAACCAAAAAGTTCTATTTTGGTCTCATCTGTTCACAAAACATTTCTCCAGTATTCCTCTGGCTTGTCCACATGATCTTTAGCAAACTGCAGACAAGCAGCAATTATTTTTGGAGAGTAGCGGCTTTCTCCTTGCAACTCTGCCATGCACACCATGGTTGTTTAGTGTTCTCCTGAAGATGGACTCATGAACATTAACATTAGCCAATGTGAGAAAGGCCTTTACTTGCTTAGAAGTTACCCTGGGTTCCTTTGCAACCTCACGGACCATAACAACTAGTCTTGTTTTTAGAGTGATCTTTGTTGGTCGAGCCCTCCTGGGGAGGGTAACAGTGGTCTTGAATTTCCTCCATTTGTACACAATCTGTCTGACTGTGGATTTGTGGAGTCCAAACTCATTGGAGATGGCTTTGTAACCTTTTGTAACCTTTTGTAACCTTTTCTAGCCTGATGAGCAACAGCAACTCTTTTTCTGAGATCCTCAGAGATCTCCTTTGTTCATGCTTTTATTCACTTCTACAAATATGATCAGACTATGAGAGATCCCTGTTCTCTAAATAAAACAGGGCAGGCAATGACACCTGGTAATCATCCCACTGATTGAAAACACTGTAATTACGCCTTCAAATTAACAGCTAATCCTAGAGATTCACGTACTTTTGCCACTCACAGATATGTAAATATGGATTATTTTCCTGAAAAAATAAATGACAAAGAAAATATTTTTGTCTCATTTGTTTGATTGGGTTCTCTGTCTACTTTCAGGACGGTAAACTTTCAAGTATCACTGTGTATGCATGTGTGTGTGTGTATATATATATATATATATAATTTCATCACATGAAAGTTTCAAATGCCCTTTTTGCTTTGGATTAACCTCAAGATGGTTACAGCAGTCCTGTATGGAAAAAAAAAAAAAAAAGAACCTTAAATGGAAAATATAAAAATGATTATTTTTGGAATTTTAAAATTGCAAGGTTGTCACAAAGCAACATGTAAAATATATACATAGTATACATAGTTTTCCATATTCATAAAAAGGAGTCCAAGAGTCTGAGACCACATTGAAAATCTGCGATTCAAAATCTTCTTATTTAAAAGAAAAATCATTTCTGGAAATCATTTTTTTCATACTTTTTTTTATTGTAAAATAATAATAATAGTAATAATACTTTTAAAGCAATGTAAATATAAAGTGAAATGAAAGAAAATGGGGCATGCTAAACCCTGAAGATCGACTGAAATGTTCAATTCAGCTTTTCACTTATTGTTATGTTGAAAGAAATAATAATAAATTCTAAATTAAATGATAATAAGAATAAATTAATAATTTATTTTGAATATCTTAATATTATGTAAATGCATCTACAGAGTACAATAGTCATATATAAGAGTGCCATACATACTCTGCACCACAGAGTAGCAGTATAGAACTTCACTGCAGAGGCTCTGCTTTTGTTTTCCACTGCGATTCCATCTCTAGTTACATTCTGCTCAGTCTAGACAGGACGAAACCCCTGACCAGATTCTTGCTGCCTTGCGTCAGCTGACTGACTCACAGACTGTGGGGGGAAAGTATGGGGTCCTGTTTGGAAAAACATGCTTCAGGGAAAACACCTTCCGATACTTCAGTCTGAATTTTACACAAACACAGTGTCTGGTTTTATGTAGAGATGATTTTTTGAGGCAGACAGGAAATATTCTGTAGGGACTGTGGTCATTTCTATTTTTGCCATACGCTGACTAGAAGCCTGCAGTGACTGATAGACAGTCATGCATGTCTTGCACTGACTTTCAGACTAAACAATAAGCTGTTGGATAATTCCATATGTAACATACTACATAGCTAACATGTGACATCATTTTCTTAAATAATCAATGCAG